CCTGCAAGTCATGAGGTTCAAAGTAGTGTTTTATCTTACCTAAGACACTGTAGCACCAACAGTTGCAGGCATTGATTGTTGTACTATTGCTAGTGATAGAAAAATAAGAGTTTTGCTTCTTTCTTTTACACTTTCCAGGGGAATATTCACGCCAGGTGGAGGAAAAGGATGCCTTGATTTCTCAGCTGTCTAGAGGCAAGCAGGGCTTTACCCAACAGATTGAGGAACTGAAGAGACATCTAGATGAAGAAGTAAAGGTGATCGTTGTTCCAGTAAAAGGCTTCTTTCCCCACAGTGGGACAATTCTGTTCTAGGGAGGCTTTCCCTAAAGCCATGTATTGCTGGCAGGAGCAGCAGATAATCACCGCCCAGCTGATTGTAGCCTGGTTTCTACCCTAGAGGAAGTAGTCGACATGGCTTTGATGCACCCAGTGATGTTGTCTTATAGAGCATTTAGACACGAGGRCAATTGCAGGGTCCTGCACCTGGGGAGGAATTACCGCAGGCACCAGTACAGATTCGGGGTTGACCTGCTGGAAAGCAGCTCCACAGAGAAGGATTTGGGAATCCTGGTTGACACCAAGTTAACCATGAGSCAGCAGTGTGCCCTTGTGGCCAAGAAGGCCAATGGGATCCAGGCCTGCATCRGGAAGAGTGTTACCAGCAGATGAATGGAGATATAATCCTGCCCCTCAGCTCTGGTGAGGCMGCACCTGGAGTACTGGGTGCAGGTTTGGGCTCCCCAGTACAGCAGGAACATGGAACTTCTAGGGAGGGCCCAGCATAGAGCAACAAAGATAATTAAGGGACTGGAGCATCTATCTTATGAGGAAACACTAAGTGAGCTGGGCCTGTTTAGCTTGGAGAAGGGAAGATTAAGAGGGGATCTGCTAAATAGGTATAAATTCCTGAGGGGACAATGTGAGGAGGATGGGGCCAAACTCTTCACAGTGGTGGCCAGTGACAGGACAAGGGGAAACAGGTATAAATTAAAACACAAGAAACTCCATGAGAGGAAGAACTTCTTTACTGTGAAAGTGACAGAGCCCTGGAACAGGCTGCCCAGAGAGGTTGCGGAGCCTCCTTCTCTGGAGGTCTTCCAAATCCACATGGATGTGACCCTCTGCCATGTGCTCTAAGTGTCCCTGCTTGAGCAACGGGGTTGGACTAGATGATCTCTAGAGGTCCCTTCCAACCTCTGTGATTCTGTGTGATTCTGAACGGATTATCTTCTCCTTCAGTGCCGCAGCCTGATTCCCTAGAGCACATCTAGGAAGGATTCATCACTCCTAGCTTTAAAATTTTGTGTGAGAATTTACCTGTATTTTCCCCCAGTGCACTTGGCCTGTGCCTGATATTTTTACTGTCAAGAAGCACCTCAGTATACATCCTGAAGTTACGAGTCCTAATGTCTCCCCAGGCCAAGAACGCCCTGGCTCATGCCTTGCAATCTGCYCGYCACGACTGTGACTTGCTGCGGGAGCAATATGAAGAGGAGCAGGAAGCCAAGGGCGAGCTGCAGCGYKCCYTGTCCAAGGCCAACAGTGAAGTGGCCCAGTGGAGGACCAAATATGAGACGGATGCCATTCAGCGCACGGAGGAACTGGAGGAGGCCAAGTATGTGGGGACTGGGATGTGGCAGAGCAGGAGACTAGGGCAGTCAGAGGAAATTTGGCAGTGTCTAAAAGCTAGAACTGATAGATTGATAAAAGAAAATGATGAAGATCCTCAGCAGGGGTCATTGATGGTTAAATGTTCTCTTGAGTAATGCAACACTGGCTCTGTAATGATCACTGCGTGGGATCTGTGTCTACCACTTCCCAGGAAGAAGCTGGCACAGCGTCTGCAGGATGCCGAGGAACANAGCACATCTAGGAAGGATTCATCACTCCTAGCTTTAAAATTTTGTGTGAGAATTTACCTGTATTTTCCCCCAGTGCACTTGGCCTGTGCCTGATATTTTTACTGTCAAGAAGCAYCTCAGTATACATCCTGAAGTTACGAGTCCTAATGTYTCCCCAGGCCAAGAACGCCCTGGCTCATGCYTTGCAATCTGCCCGCCACGACTGTGACTTGCTGCGGGAGCAATATGAAGAGGAGCAGGAAGCCAAGGGCGAGCTGCAGCGYKCCYTGTCCAAGGCCAACAGTGAAGTGGCCCAGTGGAGGACCAAATATGAGACGGATGCCATTCAGCGCACGGAGGAACTGGAGGAGGCCAAGTATGTGGGGACTGGGATGTGGCAGAGCAGGAGACTAGGGCAGTCAGAGGAAATTTGGCAGTGTCTAAAAGCTAGAACTGATAGATTGATAAAAGAAAATGATGAAGATCCTCAGCAGGGGTCATTGATGGTTAAATGTTCTCTTGAGTAATGCAACACTGGCTCTGTAATGATCACTGCGTGGGATCTGTGTCTACCACTTCCCAGGAAGAAGCTGGCACAGCGTCTGCAGGATGCCGAGGAACAYGTTGAGGCTGTGAACTCCAAATGTGCTTCYCTGGAAAAGACAAAGCAGCGGCTGCAGAATGAAGTGGAGGACCTGATGATTGATGTGGAAAGGTCGAACGCAGCTTGTGCAGCTCTGGACAAGAAGCAGAAGAATTTCGACAAGGTAAAATGGGCTCCCGCCCTGCAGTCTGGGAACAGAGCATGCCCTTGTGATTGCCAGGTCCATAATCAGGCCCTGTTGCTCTTCAGATCCTGTCAGAGTGGAAGCAGAAGTATGAGGAAACACAGGCTGAGCTGGAAGCCTCCCAGAAGGAGGCTCGCTCTCTCAGCACRGAGCTKTTCAAGATGAAGAATGCCTATGAGGAGTCCCTGGACCACCTGGAAACCCTGAAGCGGGAGAACAAGAACTTGCAGCGTAAGTTCTGGGCGYTCTGCTGCTGATGGATCTTTCTCACAAGCTCCACAAACCCGGAAGGGGTCTGTGGCTCTGGTCTTGTGAGGGTACCTGTCCCCTGTGTGTGACAGGGCCTTGTCCCTCYTGTTCTGTACCTGACCAGGCCCTATGTCTCTGTCTCCACAGAGGAGATTTCTGACCTCACAGAGCAGATTGCAGAAGGTGGAAAGGCAATACATGAATTGGARAAAGCAAAGAAGCAGGCCGAACAGGAGAAATCAGAAATCCAAGCTGCTCTGGAGGAGGCAGAGGTAAATGGCAGTAGTCATTGGTGTCCATACTAAAACTATGAGAGACATGGACATTTGGCTGTGAATCCTGTGGGTCGTTTGTGCCCTGACTGTGGAGCACAGGAAACTGAGWTTTCCTAAAGAGAAATAGGAAGGGAAGTAGCAGATTTAGTCMCTGTCTACTTCTCTAGGCCTCCCTAGAACATGAAGAAGGCAAAATCCTTCGCCTGCAACTGGAACTCAACCAGATCAAGTCTGAGATTGACCGGAAGATAGCAGAAAAGGATGAGGAAATCGACCAGCTGAAGAGAAACCATCTCCGAGTTGTGGAGTCCATGCAGAGCACGCTGGATGCTGAGATCAGGAGCAGGAATGAAGCCCTGAGGCTGAAGAAGAAGATGGAGGGAGACCTGAATGAAATGGAGATCCAGCTGAGYCATGCCAACCGCGTGGCTGCAGAKGCMCAAAAGAACCTGAGAAACACACAGGCGGTGCTAAAGGTCTGATAAGCAAAGACACGTGTAGAGGAATGGCTTATCTGTCATTTTGGGGACCCAAGGATGCTATGCCACCTCCTCATCTCTCTTGCCTCTTTTACAGGATACCCAGATCCACTTGGACGATGCTGTCAGGACACAGGAGGACCTGAAGGAGCAGGTGGCCATGGTGGAGCGCAGAGCCAACCTGTTGCAGGCTGAAATTGAAGAGCTACGGGCAGCCCTGGAGCAGACAGAGCGCTCCAGGAAAGTGGCTGAGCAGGAGCTGCTGGATGCAACGGAACGCGTGCAGCTCCTCCATACCCAGGTGAGGAACCCTGCTGAAAATGACTCCCATAAAGAAGAACTAGTGTAGAATGACAGGTAAAATGATTACTGTAAAAATATTTATGTGCTATGTTGTCACAAGACAAGGACTGCTAGTCACTAGGTTCTAAAAACCGCTCTAAAGACTTTCTGTGCGTAAGATTCCCATAGATACTATGCTTAAATTTCCTTCCCCTGAGGCAGAAGTGTAAGGTCTAAATATAGAAATCATATTCTTCCTGTCACACAGAACACCAGCTTGATCAACACCAAGAAGAAGCTGGAAACAGACATCATGCACATTCAGGGAGAAATGGAAGATACAATCCAAGAAGCCCGCAATGCTGAAGAGAAGGCCAAGAAGGCCATCACAGATGTGAGTTGGGAACTCCTTTCACTGTCAGTGGAGGACAGATTCTGCTGGAGGACAGCGGTCATGTCCTAGCTCCAACTCTTGCTTTTCCTTTGCTCTGCAGGCRGCCATGATGGCAGAAGAGCTGAAGAAGGAGCAGGACACGAGTGCCCACCTGGAGAGGATGAAGAAGAACTTGGACCAGACAGTGAAGGACCTGCAGCACCGTCTGGATGAGGCTGAGCAGCTGGCACTGAAAGGAGGCAAGAAGCAAATCCAGAAGCTGGAGGCCAGGGTGAGTAA